AATACTTACAGGACTAATTCTCGCATTGCTTGCTCCGGTTCTGCTTCTTCATCGACTTCCATCGGGGAAGCCTGCATCTCAGAGCCTTCTTCGGCGGGTTCTGGATGCTCTTCCTCGAGCATCCACTCGTCATCTTCATCAGGAAGAGGGGCCCAAGCCGCCTCTTCCTCATTAATTCCCGCAAACGCCGGCTCCAACACCTCCTCCTCCTCTTCTTCCGCGGCTCCTTCATAAAATGCGAGCCGCTCGAGGAGTTCTTCTTCTCGCTAGAAAATTTTCACCAAGTATTGAGCAGAAAGTTAGCACTTCATTAAAATGCATGCATAATCTCAACGTTTGTTCACTGAGAAATAATTATAACACCTATATATAATCATAATTCGGAAAAAAGCATTAAAATTTACCTCCATAGTTTCAACGATATACTTTTGGAGGGCAAGTTTCATTAGGGGATTGCCCTCCAAGTATTCCAGGACAGTTAGGATGCCTGGAATCTGCACGTCGTCGTCAGCCATAGGAGTATCTGTAAATCGTTTTTGAGCAAAACATGAATTAAAACAAAATCACGTATACGATTCCACTTTCAATAAAAAATAAAAAATATGTGATTTTATATGACCAATACTCATTTTAAAACTGTTACACTGCACGCATAACGTAACCATCTCGAGAGTTGGTGATCAAATGCGAACATGCATTCGCGTTTGACAGGAAAGAGATGTGATACTAAAAACAGTGCTATTTCCTTCAGTAACGAATGTGGATTTTTCTGCATGACTATGGGGAGAGACGTTCCACTGTTCATATACCTTCTGCTCAGCAATATCTGATGCATATATCCATCCATTTAATACAAGAACTTTCAGGGGCAATACCAAAAAAGAAACAAACAATGTGACTACTTTAGTTACTTGATTTGCATAGGAGAATATTCATTATCGCTATTTACTTTTGCAAATCACAAAAATGTAATAGACGCAAAGATATGTCTGATTTGCCTTCAAGTGCATTACATGGTTTGATATAAACTTCTTTCTTTGATATTTCGCACTTTTTTTTGCTCGAATTACTTTATTCAGTGAAACCGGATTGCTGGAAGAAAAGAAATACGTGCGTAGAGATCTTGT